CAATTTTTGGTATCGTTTATACTGTACTTCAAATTCGTTCACTCAAATTCATTCATTCAAAGATATAAGAAACTAGACTCATGATAAACATTAAGTATACCCACATTTCATACCAAAAGGTGGTTTGCAATGCATTTTAGGGCGATTTGTGATTTTCAGTAATGTGATTGTTGACATCAACCTTCCTCGTCTTATGCTTGTGTTCAGTCAGTCTTTTTGTAAGGTTTCTGCCAGTCTCTTCGATGTAGAGGGCTTGGCAGTCGGCCGAGCAGTTGATCCTATAAACCGCTCCCTGTCTGTTCTCTAGATCATCACGGCAAAACTGACCAATCGGGTTTTACGAACCGGACTTTGAACTTCCGACTAACAAAAACTACCCACTTGACTTTGATGATGACTTCCGCTCAGGTTAAAGAAAACTCAGTCACTACAACCGATAACAGTCTTTCTCACGACTTCAATGAAGCCATTTACTGTTCGACTAAAACTCTATTGTTTTATTTATATTTACCAAAGAGAAGGAGCTATAGCTAACAGTGAAACGTTTTTAAGAATAGATTGGGGTAGTGATGTTAGCTTTTCGTGTTGGAATATCATTTTGTGATAATAATTTTAATAGAGCTTTTAAAATCATGGCAATTATTTTTACATTAGCGTTCAGCGTTTGTATGTCAGTTCTTCAGCCTTACGTGCCATCGAGTTGAAAAATGATTATGCAGAAAAATTCTCAATATTGATACTAGATACCTCTAAGAGATGACCATCGATGCGATTTGGAGTATAATTGAAAAATTCGACTTGGAAAATTACCATTTTCAATGCGCCTTTCTATGAGTGTTTTATTTCCGTCTATTTGTTCAAGATATCGGAAATTAAAGTAAATTTTTAGGTGATTTGAATCATGTTCCCAACAAGATTTGCAAACTAATGCTGCTATTTTTCGTGATCAGTGAAAAATTGAATGAGAAAACAATTTTAGTTAAAAGAGCCGCGTCTGAAACAGTTATATTCAAGGAGATTTTCTGTCGTGATTCATCAACTTACGATTTCCTGAAGCTATTATTTTGCAGGTTCGCCTTTTTTTATATTCACGCCAAGGAAAAAAACCTGATTGAAATATCAATCTAAAACTTTGAAAGAATCAAATTAGGCACGAATCACCTGTCTGACTTTTAAAGTATAATAAAACATTGAGATGTGTTGGGTTTGTTAGGCAATTTCGGTGAGTCTCTTGTTATGCCACTGAATGTCTGAATTAAACTCATGCTTGATTTTCAAAGCTTCGCTCTTCTTTTCTTTTTATCTTTCCGAGTTGCTGCGTTGTTTCAGTGTGAATACTTGTTATTTAGTTGTTATAGTGGTTAGGCTTCTCTATAATTGTAAAAATACTTCTTGCTCGCGTTTGATTTGTTTGCACTGCTGTGGGCGTCATGTCACGAACGTTTGGGAAACATAGAACCCTCCAGCTGAGTTGAACTTTCAAGTCTCGTGAATCTATGAACATTTTCAATTGTTTGACTGCCTTGAGTTATATACTGTATTCACTAAAAAAATGCGTTGATCTATCCTTCAAGTATTTTCAGGTTAACGAGGGAAAACATCTAAAGTATTCGGTTTCTCAATCCATGTTAATTTCCGGAACTTTCACTCAGGAATAGAATGGCTTTCTTTTGCTGTCGTTGTTCTTTTCACCGCTTGTTGGACGAATAACATTTCTTTTTTTGTTCTTTTTTTTGGCATGTGATATTCGTCACAGATTAATTTTTGCTATGCGGCCTTTTTCTCATTTAAAATGGAATTAATGAAAGATCTCGTGAGGACACTGTCAATTTTGGTATAAATATAAAAGAGAGCGTAAGGAATACTTAGTTATTTTTGAACGCGGCGTTCTATTTTTTCTATTTTTTTTTTTCCTTATTTCGAAGTCAGAGCCGAAGGGGGTTGTCCAAGCTTCATCCTGTTTTATTCAATTCAGTTTTAATATCGGCAACAGTGATCTTTAAGTGTCCATAGTTTAGTCTAAATCGCTCCAGTAGAACCAGACTACATGCTTTTGAAGACTCAAGCGCATACACAGAGCGGCGCTGGGCGAAAGATCTATAAATTATATAAACCAATCTTTGGGAAAACCATTTAAGTTGCACGCTTTTTTCCCCCTAATTCTCTCATTCGAAGCGTCTTGCATGCAATAGATCACTGACATGGAATTAATATGAATATTTCGTTTCATTTCAAATGCAGTCGCGGCATCCTTTTTTGCATCTTCGTAACAGGTTTGCACCTGTTTGTTTTTTGCTTTATTTCCCCCTCACAAGAACGAGTGCCATTTGTAAACACGTTCCACCCTCCAGTTAGTTATTTTATAGCCCCTAATGGGCTTTCTCTAGTGGTTGGCTGAATCGTTTATTTACCACCGACTTGAAGTGTTGTCAAAATTGATTTGTGTATATGACAGCGCAAATAATAAACTATTCGGCAAGCTACTCGGAAATTATGAAGTATTCTTCCGACATCAACAGCACAAAGACCGACTGAGAATCAACGGAATCCTCTCATTTTGCAGAGTGTTGTAATTTTCGCCGAGAATTTTCTCCGAGGCCGTGCAGAGTTTGTGACTTTGTCAAGGCTTATTTAGCTGGGCGGATTTTAACTTTTGCGAGAACGATTTTACATTTTCTACATTGTAGAAGCGAGGTTCCTCGAGAAAGAGCTTATTTAACTGCCTGAGAGAAAAAAATTTTCTTTTTTTAGGAAAATTTGGAAGACCTTCAAGGTTCGGACTAATTTCCACGTACGGGTAGCGATTTGTTTTTGGCAATTTAAATGCGGATTCATTTAAATATTTAAAAAAGATCGTTAAGTGCACCAAACAAGTAGCTAGTTCCTGCTTTATTCTTCTGGGGTCTTCTTAGTCAACATGAGAGTTTCACTGGCGCTCTTTGTGCTAGCGTTTTGTTTACAAGCTGATTCTGCAATTGGTCGTTGGAGAAGATTCAAAGAAGGGAATTTCATCATCGGAGGGCTTTTTCCCATAACCGAAGGGCCGGAGTGCAACAAAGTGCGGAGCGAAGGATTACTGCTCGCTGAGGCGTTTTTTTACACAATAAACAATGATTCGATTTATAGCGGTGCAGTTCTTGGATATGATATCAGAGACAGTTGTTCGAGCCCTGAGGTGTCTGTGAAAGAGGTTCTAGATATTTTGAGACACGAAAATGATGGAACATTATCTGAAAACTGCTCATTGAAGAACGCACGCAAACAATGTGGAGTGCTCGCGTTTGTGGGACCAGATTTGTCTGGCAACGCTGTCGTTACAAGTGTCATATTGAGCGCTTATGGGGTACCTCAGGTAAGAAAACTTTCCATTTTTATCGTACGTGACATTTTCCTTTTATTTGTAGAGGAGAATTATTTCAATTGACCCCTGTTCCATTTAAATTGCAAATTTCAACTTGCCTCTGACTAGATTCTATAGTGACGTTCTTCGTTTTAAAAAAAGCGAACTGTAACATGAACTTTGATTCGAAACTTTATTATTGGTCTTATTCGGTTAGCGTTCAAAGCCCGAATCCCGAATCCCGAATCACTCATTCTTAGCCTGTGGGAGCATATGTGCAGATCGATCTTAGAGGCACGTTTTCATTTGTCAATAAATTTAAATTGTATAGAAATATCTTTAGACAATGATCACTTCTCTGCAAGAAAAAAAAAGAAGAAAATTGCTCCGCGTAATGTGGTCTTTCGCTCGAGGGCAAAGTGTGCAAACCTCAGAATGGTTTTGCAATTCTAAACATTCAAAACTGGTGCCTAAATTTGAGCTCGTCTGACAAAAACCAAGAGAAAAAGAAAAAAAAAAACGGAAAGTTTGTTGTTTTTAGTCTTCGAATGTATGACATTTACGAAAAAGTCTTCCTGTGTATATTTCAGATTATCTTAGGATCCGCTTTTAATGTAATATTTGTCTTCATCTTGTGGTAGTTTTTACAGATAGTGTTTTGAGGATGTAGATTTAATAGATATTTTTTTTCTTGATATTTTATATTAATTCGCGTAATAAAGTCACATTCATGTGTTGTTTTAGATATTTCTGATCAAGCACCTTCCGCGTAATCTCAGAATGATTTCGCAATCCACTTGTTAACTTTTTTTTTTTATTTAGTAGATTTGGAAGTTGTAATGGAAAACTCGTTTAATTTTTCTCTCGAATGAAAACGTCTTACTTTCTCACCTGCGGAAATAGTGGCACCGAAAAATTCATTCTATGTTTGTAAGATCGGAGACGACTTTGTTTTCGCACTGCAAACGTATCTCCAGTATTCGTAGGTGAGAAGAATTATGACATTTTTTGGAAATATTTTGGTTCCAAGTGAAGCCGGATGCATTAATTTAGCGATTATTTGTACTAAATTGATCTTATCGCTTTACTCCTATTAACATGTTTTACTATCGCGAAAATATATAGCCAATTAATGCCACCGCGTTCTTTTATCATGACACAGTTTTCCTTGACACAGATTTGAATATTGTGCCGAAAATCTCTTTATTCAAACATTTGCTTGTCCGCCTTCTGCGGAATTCACAAAGAAACTGACAGCTAGTCTTGATAAACAGACACAATTTCCCCCTGTTTGATAAATTACCGGGTATCGTGTCGACATTTTCCAAAAGATTACGAAATTTTTTTCTTATCGGGATGTGCTGTCCACATTGTCTGTTAACAAGAAAATCAATGGTGACACGCTTTTTCCGTTCTGAGTTCATTAACCGCTTCCCAAAACGATCCTAAAGTGAAGGATGTGAAACGTTTCCCGTGGAGACGCCGTGCTGCCGTTATTCTTCTTATTTATTTCTTTTTTTGTCTTGGTCATGAATAGAATATAGTTACATATTCTTCGAGAATAAAATTCCATCTTCGAGAAATCGTGATCGTGATCGTGGTCGTAATGACGCGAAGACTTCATCTTTGTGGTCGTTTCGCGCCTTTTCAGACACTTTGTGCGTCACTTTTGATTAAAAATGTTAATTTTGTTTGATGTTTCTTTTGTTTGAATCCACTTTAATCCTCAGATTTTAAATGCACTCTTCGCTGCTGTTAAATGGTGTTCAAATAGTTGACAATTTGCATCTTTTTGAGAGCAGCAGGGAGACCTCTTCAAAGCAGTTATTGTGACGTGCGAATGGATGGGTTTGTTTTTTACCGGGCGTATCTAAGATATTCCTATTTTTACAGCGAGAAATGATTGCTTTACTTTCCATTCGGAAAAAAAAGTGTAAAAAGGTGGATGGAGAAAATTTTAGCATATCAGCAATTTTCTCTAAATAGGCTGGGTTATTTTAAATTGCCACCAGATTTTGAATAGCACTGCAGATGAAGACAAAAACATCATTTGGAAATTTTTAAAGTGCTCTTAAGGGTTATGCGATCTCCCCTGTCGAGTTGGAATGCATGATTTAGCCTTTGGTCTTTCCTTGTCGTAGATTAAAGCATTGCAATATCTTTTTTCGAGTGGGGGGGTGGGAAATTGTTGTATTATACCAAGTGCACAAAGCTGCGTTCGAGAAGTTTTTTAGCTGATATTTGAGTGGGTTTTATCCTTTGAAGAAAAAATACATCGTGGACCCATTTACGGTGAATGAAAGGGTACTTCAAACGAATTCGCTTTAAAAAGAAAATCTTTTATCACCTCTTCTACAAAATGAAGTCACGTTAACACACTTTTTTTTTCAAGCGGTTAAAAATAACTTTCATCCTGGGTGAATGTTAGAGTGCTCTGTTCAAAAGCGATAAAAATTTTACAATAACGACATCAGTGCTCCAGTGAAATGTTTTTTTGACTTTCTATTTCTCGACCAAGAATTGAGGATGTTATGTAATATTTAAGGGTTCCAACTCTCTTTGGGGCGCGTAGACTTCTTATCTGTTTCATGATCATGTTAAGCATATAACCGCCACCGTTCCTTAACTGTTACACATTGTGAAGCAGCCAGGATTAAGGTTTTGCACTAATACCTAGTGTGTCTCTGAGAAAAGATTTTAAGTGCTCCATCGACGAACTTTAGGGTCAAATCAGTCGATATTTACAGAAAGAACTCTGCCTAGTATTTAACTCTCAATCGAAACGTTGTGTATTTCTTAATTTTGCAATTTCGCTGTTTATATATATATAAATTTTTTTTTTTTACGACTTTTCTCTTTTTATATCAACTCGAAAACCTAGAATTCTATGTAAACACCATTCAGTTTTTGAAGCGAGGGTTTCCTTACGCAATAGGCTAATTACAGTACATTAGTGAGAACAATACAATATTAATTGAACACGGAGGCGAGTTCCCTTCAACTGTCTGAATTTGTGGCGCCATAGAATCCGGTCGCTTGGTTTTTATCTCTCTTTTGGAACTTCCACCGACATTTTTCGTCGTCTTTGGTCTGTTTGTTCCTCTTTTAAGTGAAACCAGATCACGTAGTAAGTGCTAAGGTTTGCACGTTAAAGCCTGAAG